AGTCTTTCTGGACCCAGCCAAATGGGAGCAATCCTGGGAAACAGTCTACCGCAGCCTTATGCCGCACCGCGACAATATCATCCAGGATGAGGACAGAGTGAGACCAGTCTCGGAGCTGACAGCAATGCGACTTCCGCACGGCAATCCAGGTGCCTGGACCGCGGAGGTCATCAATGAGATCGCTTGGGAGTTCAACATTGCTGCCGACAAGTTGCCCGAGCAGCTCGTAGTTCAGCTGGGCGTCTTCGAGAAGTGTTGGCCGTACATCCAGAAGACCCGGAGGACATATTGCCGGTTTCAGCCCAGCAAAAAAGATTCGAGGAACAATCAGTACGGGATTCTCTTCTCCTTTGAGCCGCGTCGCAGACTCCCGGACAACCTCCGCTCGCAGTCGATTTCGCCGTTCTTCTGGGCGCATAACACGGACATCAACTCCGCCATCGGCGTCTTGAAAGAGGAGGGGCTCATCCGACCATCGAAATAGCAGAAGCAGCACCTCCCAACCACGAGTACACAATTGGAATGATGTGTGGATTCCGCCAATGGGTTTCTATTGCAGAGGGAGCCTCATTTCCCAAGAAGCAGCTGTGAAGTCTGCCGCCCAGTTCGCCGGAGTCCACTCTACTCGTCCTCTTTGCATCGGAGGAGTGGCGCGCCTGCGCCAACCTCACTGTGTAATTCCGCGCGGTGGCACGTATGCAGACATTGCCGCTTCTCACTACTATGACTGCATTCACGCCAAAGATGGCAGGTGGAAGCTTCGATCATCCATCGCAGTTCCCAGCTACTTGGGGATGTTCTGGTAAATGCTTTCTGCATGGCAGCCCGGTGATCAGGCGCTGCCACTATGACCCTCATGCACCAACAATATGCGGTTTGTGACAGCTGATTTTCGTGATATTCATCATGACGTTTCCAGCTGCTTGGATTGCTCTTCCGGACAAGTGGATTTGCGTGGTTTTGACGTTTGCATGATTGCTTGCTTGTGAGTCCTGATGCTTCCGCAGTTTGTGGTTTGCAGCTGATCGTGTCACACAACCATTGCCGGCCGGTTCCTTTGCCGTCATGGATCACAGTGACATTTTACGAGAATGTCGTTACCTACTACACTCCATCTCGTCGCAGATCAGTATACTACTGGCTGGACTACAACGTCTTGAAGGCCACCAACGGCATCCGCAACCACCACTTCCCCCCGTTGCACCTGCCGTCCTCCTGTGGTACCTCCAGTACCAACGGTCCCCGAGGTACTCCCACCGCTTCCACCACCTTCGACGCCTGCGCCGACATCTTCGAAGGCACCGTCAACGAGACCACCTTTCACATCGATGCCTATTACGCTGGTGGCCACGTCTACCAATCTAGCGGAAGCTGCTGATCTCACTGAACCAGTCAGTGACAGTGCATCCAGGGAACGCAACAAAAAAAAGAAGGTCGAGGAGACGCGAACCGCATCGGTACCGCTCTCGGAGCCGCAGTCATCGCAGGCGACCACTCAATCGTCGGGGCCCTGTCCTAACCTTGGACTATCGCGGCGTGTCTTGAGTTGCGTGGCGGTCTGGGCACCATCCGGGGATCGGATTCGGAATTCCGGTCTACCGCAAGAGCAAAGTTCAAGGTGTCCAAAGCTGTTGAAATCTGGGAAGCGGGAACGTTGAGCACAGCGATCAGGTTATTCACAAACTCCGGAGACAGCCACATGGCAAGAGTAAGCAATGCAAGGACAATGCAAGCAAAAAGCGGCTGAGAGACAACACAAGCAAAGCAAAACATGGGAGAGCTGAATACCTTTTACCTGATGCCGAGCTTCAGCGGCCGCGTGTGAGTCCGGATGGACGACGTGCTGGCATTGCTTTCACTGCAGGAGGAGCTTTTGGCGTCATCACGGAACGCATCGCGTCAGACCGGTCACGCACGCCGCCTCGAACTGGGACTCGGCCTTTGGACACATCCTCGACCTGGTACATACCTGAACTATTGCCCCCTCGAGATGTACGTCGTGAAGTTCCAGGCCCAGGAACAGAACATGAGCCTCGTCCTTGACCGGCTTCCTCAACCAAGATTGCCCGCTCCCATCACGGCAAACACCGATCGTGGGCCGGTGACGACACCTACTTCTACTCCGGATTCTGATTCGGACCGTTCTATCCGTCCACATCCTGGTGCTTCGTCGTTTCACCCGTCAAGCCGTCTCGTCTACAGCAGCGCACTATACTCTCGACGACCCTTCACCGTGTTCACTCCCAAACGATCGACTTGTGCTACACGGCCCAGAACTACAAGGCAAACATTACTGCCATGCCTTCCTACACCATGGCCGGAAGTGTCTTTCTCCTTGTGTGAGACATCAACTGGGACACTTCCATTGCCGATGTGCACGTCATCAACGGCAGTAAAGAGGTGCCGTGGAGCCTTCTGAGTGAAAATATTGTCCGATTTGCTTGCTGCTTGTGCTTGGGTTGCCTCGTCTTGAGTTGTGCTTTCTCCATGTTCGTTCTTTCGCAGACTTCTTTGTCTCATAGAGGCGCATTCAGTTGTTATGCTTAATTTGACATTTGGAAACGAGAGATGGGCCTTTCCGCGCTACTTTGAGACATCGTGCGTCTGGAAATTCAAGAGTTGAATGGATTCGCGTTTACACACCGGGCGCGTGGCAGCCTGTTGCAAAATCCACCTCAGGTCTGGCTCCGGACGACGCATCCACATATCGTGAATGGTGCAGGGTCTACCACTTTGACGTGTACTGGCCTCGTGACAGCAGAGGAGGCACCACTGCGGATGCCCTCGCCCTGCCAATCTCACACCCAAGCATTGGATTGCCAGATCTCATGTACGCTGGATTGTCCTCCTCGTCGGCATCTTCGGTTCCAGATGGTGGTTGGCGTTCTCCTTCCCCTCCAGCGGGCTATGATCCTCAGTTTGACTGGGACGAGTGACATGGATACCTGTGCAGGCTGTAGCTATAAGACACTGCGCTTGATGTTCCTTGCGTCTTGAGTGCATGGTTTAGAGTCTTGAGTTTGACCGGCGTGTTCTACGTCACATGACATGATGTGTTGCTTTCCTGCAGCCTTGTGCGTCATTGTCTGATCATCATGCCGTGGCTCTGGTCCTCAACGACCGGACGCCCAATAATGCATAATGGATTTAAATATTTCATCCAGGGGCATGGGCGCAGCAAGACGAACGTGATGACCCTCCTCCACGTCATACGTACAGGGAATGGAAGGAGTTCTATGACCAAGTTCATGCTCAAGATGGTGTCCAATCCACTGCTCCTACTTGGTACAAACGGGACTGGACCACGGAAGGTTACCGGCGTGTCGCGGCTCCTGAACCTGACAACTACTTCACTTCGATGTTTTCCCCTGATCAACACAACGTGGCCTGTGCATGTCTACACAGATGTTGGAGGCGATTCTCCGATCTTCGGATGCGTCGGCTTTCTCTACTGAAGATCTCACTCGTCTGCAAGCAGGGATCTGTCAGCAGCTGTCGGATCGCACACGTCAAGCGTCGCGGCCACATCAACCAGTACGTACAGGGCGCTGATCCGCCTGAATCTACTGGAGCCGCTGATCCCTATTCGCCTGCAAGCCGTCCCAGCAGCTCTGACGTCAAGGAGAAGCCCATCTTCGAACTAGTTGCTGAATAGACTGATGAGTTTTGACCGTTGTGCAAAATGGTGCTTTCATGTCTTCTTGCTTGCTTGTGTGTTGTCTGTTGTGCATGGTGGCTGTTGGATCGGAACCCGTGGTGCACCTATCTCTCATTTCGACATGGATACGGATGAAGCAACCCAAGCGTGGGCCCAGACTGACATTCAGCCAGGATGATGACGTACCTGACCTTCCAGAGAACACTTTTCAAGAGTGGAAACGGGTTACCGCGCCAGGTGATGCGACTCAAGAGCACGATGAGCCAGGTCACCATGCGCCTGAACGCCGCCAAGCCTGGACCATTCGAGATTGGCAGGATCAAGGATACCAACGAGTACTGACCCGCTATGAGTCCTTCTCCACCCGCAACGCACTGGATCAACCGCTTGAAGGCTTACAAAATCCGGACTTCTCCATCCAGGTCGAGGGGTTCTCAACATGGTCTTCGTCAACAAGACCGCGGAGTGATGGACATGTTCACCTACGCCCCGCCCATGACGGACGCTGCGCATCCGTCCTCTGCACCTTCCGCCGGTCTTCTATGGCGGCACATTTCCTGCTCAACTTGGAGACCCTTCGTCCCCGTCTTCTGAGCGGCGCCGTACAGAGCGTGCAATTTCTCGTTCTCCCCGCCGCAGTGGATATTTTGGTAGACGTTAGGGAGTTGAGCGCGTGGTCTTCCGAATGCAAAAGGTAATGTACGCCCCTCGTGGAGGGGCGTGTGTGTGCGGAGTGGCAGAAAACCCTGCCACCAAAACTTTTTTCTTCAGCAGGGGGCGCAGCATTGAAGGGACCTGCGCCAACGAAGACGCCCTTCTTTGCTGGTGAAATCCAACGGGACGCCGTTGGACGTACCTGCAATTGTGATGTTTGTGAATGTCCTTTTGGTCCCCTCCCTGAACCGCCGTTGCTTCCTTGATTCTCTATTCAAGTAACTAGAGTGAAGCTGTGAGTGACCTGCGAGCCGAAACTTATCGCACTCGAGACTTATCAGTTGTACTCGAGACTCATCAGTTGTGCTCGAGACTCATCAGTTGTACTCGACTGCTTAGCACCCTTTTTTGGGAGTTGAAGTGTGTGTGTGTGTGTGTGTGTGTGTGTGTGTGTGTGTGTGTGTGTGTGTGTGTGTGTGTGTGTGTGTGTGTGTGTGTGTGTGTGTGCGTGTGCGTGTGCGTGTGCGTGTGCGTGTGCGTGTGCGTGTGTGTGCGTGTGCGTGTGCGTGTGCGTGTGCGTGTGCGTGTGCGTGTGTGTCTGTGTGCGCGTTCATAGCCAACTCCACTTTCCAGATTTTAAGCCCAGAATGCAGTCCTTATCACAAAGCCATTCTTTGTCCATGCCGAGGAATTACAACATCCGCGAGAGAATGGCAAACCGATTCGAGGCGGGCTGCTGGCTGCATGCACATGCAAGCATGCATGCACAAGCGGCACGCGCGCGCACGCTACCCGCGCGTGCAAGCATGTGCGCACACGCGCTGACAACGAGGATTGCATTAGCACGCATTAGCATGAGCGTAGAGCATGTGACAAATGTCTGAAACTAAGACCCACTGTGAATCAGACAAAGCACAGAAGCAACGAGAGGGGCATGGCGTCCAGAGGGCATGGTAGTCCAGTTTAGGTCCAGGCCCCACGTTTTGCACCAATCACATCCTGCAATCGCATTGAGCCGCTGAGACTTCGGTCTCCGTTTCACGTGGCTCAAGGTGCCGCGTCCGCCGCCCTCGGTCCTTCGGTGCTTCGGTCCTTCTGTCCTTCGGTTCGGCGCGATGTTCTCCACTTCGGTGCTGGAGTGCCGCAAGTCCCTGGACCGCGAGGCCCCGCGCAGGGGGCTCTTCGCGTGGGACAAGGAGAACCGGCCCAGCGACGCGAACAAGGACAGACGGGACTGGGGAACGGCAAGTGAATGCGGCGTTGCGTTATTCAGACTCATGCGTTGCAGAATGGCTTTCTGATGTTGAAGCTCATTGCTGTTCGCTGGAAAGGCTGATCTACATAGCGTTGAAGGCAGCTTTGAACTCAGAGTTGATGCAAGGTTGCCAAAAGAAAGGACAGTCAGCAGTATTTTCCTCGCCCCTTGCCATTCTCCTTCTGACGACAGAGGCTCAGCATGCTATGCCAAATCCAAAAACTCAACAAGTCAGCTGGAAAGCAAGACTGGCCGACACCCCCCCGGCTTGCTTGTGCCAAGCAGTTCATTTCGCCGCCGGAACTTGCGTCAGACGGCAGGAGCCAAAGGTGCGAGAGCTGTGCGAGGAACCGCGGCGTGTGCAGCTGGAGGAGGAGAAGCAGGCCGGGGCGATGCGTCAAATTTGCATCTGCAGTTTGGGAATTTTAGTGTAAAGATATCTTTTTTTTAAGTGCCGACTTTTGTTGGTTTCTTTGCACAGATCCGCCGAGCTCACGGCGTAAATTGTGCAATTGGAATTTGCGTCTCTTGAGGATCTCCAGCGACAACTGCGTGATGCGCACCAGGGGCGCAAGGCCGCGGAGGCGCACAAAGAATTTCCGTTGACGAGTTCAGGGGCGGTGTGTGCTTTTTTTCTGTTTGAGCCCCTTGCCGGTTTGAAAGGAGGGCTTTCCCATTTTGAGACACTCGTTTGGAGTCTCGGCTTCGCATTTGGCTTTTCTCTTCTGCTGCGGGGGTTGGGAATTTGACTCGCTCTCCCAGGTGTCCCACCTATGTCAAAGTTTCCGGATTGGTTCAAGTTTCTCAACGCGCCTAGAGTCAAAACATCATTGTGATCCTTCATTTTGCTATTATCACAATTATTACCATTATTATGTATATGTTTATTGTTGTTATTTGATTGGCACTGGTCATTTCAACCTTTTTTGTGCATTCGCAGGCCGCTTTCTTCCGTCCCCGGGCCCCACCTGTCTCTGGGCTTTGGCGGCGGCGCGTTTCGCAGGCCAAGGCGCAGAAGCTGCAGCTGGTGCTGCGGGGCAGCGTGGCCTCCGAGCAGCTGGCAGGCGACGACCGCGCGCGCCTTTTTTTTTCTTCTTTTTCTTCTTTTCTTTCTCCTGGAGCCCAAAGGGCCCGTACTGTGGATGGTTGCGAAGTCCATGTCGCAGCACCTAAGAACCAGGGGAGACCATCAAAATCCTGCACCACTTTCAAACCATGGTTGAAACCATTCCATTTGTTGGTATTTCTAGGGGAATCATCCGAAACCAGGGTTTCTTAGGTGGTGCGAAATGGATTTCGCCCATCCACAGTAAGTCGGAAGAAAAACCACCGCGAAATGGGAAGAGCACCAAATGCCATTAGGGAAACCAATTAGAAAAAAAGAAAAACGGCAAAAAAGGTGAAAGACTTTCAGCCGATGGGAAAAGTTAGAAAATATTTTGGGGGGAAGGGAAGATTGATCAATCCCCATTTGCTGTTCAGAGGACGTGGGCGTGGCTCACGACATGGACAGCTAAAGCAAACCGCAGGTGTTGGTCTTTGTCTTCTTCTATTTTGGGTATGGTTTTGCAGCAGCCATGTGACAGGGGTATGTCAGGTATGTCTCAAAATGAGAAAACACAAGAACCGGCGGGTTTGTTTTTGGTCTTCGTAAGTGCCTGAAAAGTTCACAGTTAGAATGGCGTCGTGTAAAAGAAACGGCCAATGAGTGAAAGCCAGTGGGTGCCTCCCAATAGACAATGGCGGCTTCTCCGGGGCTAAAGGAGAAGATGGAAGGAGAGAGCTGAGAGGTTGGGTTTTATTGGATTTTATTGGGAGGAGGTTTAATTTCTGTTAGGAATAAGAGGATTTTTGAGGGGATTATTTTGGGGTTTGGGGTGTGGGGTTTGGGGTCTTTAGAAAAACATCTCATGAGGGCTCGCCAACTGTCCAAGGAAGTGACCAACTGTCTTCAGGACTACAAAGGGACATTTCATGGCTTGCTTGTAGCTCTTGTCAGTTACCACCAGGATGTTTCGCGACTTCTCTTGAGATGCCAGTCCGCTGCACACCCACAGACACACCAGGTCCACATCTCAGAGGTCCGTGGCTCGACTGGTGTTAGATCCATGGGTGTCCTTTTTGGTTGTTTTGCTAGAAAAAAGATGGCCCATGTTTACCTGGTGGTTTAATCATCTACCAGGGCCATCTATTTCCCCTAAAGGACACCTATGGTTAGACCCCGTATGCAAGTCTTCAGCTCACTGGCCAGGGCTTCATCAGCTGCAGCAGCAGATGCGGCAGATCAGTGGCCACATGACTCTGCAGGAGGACTTTACAGCGGGGACGACCGACGCGAAGCCGTTGTCGTCGTCATGGAAGGTTTTGGTAACGTTCATGCTGAATGCGACTCCTGTGGTTTGCCAGCCATTGCGAATGCATCCTGAATTGCTCGACACTCAAACAAATGGGCCAGAGAATGCGTGAGCCAACCGCACGGCAGCAACAAAACATTTGGGCGTGGCTCAAAAATAGGGGGCAGAAATGGAACCCAGGAAATGGACAAGTAAACTAAAATATGAGGTTCCCTGGCTCTTAATGTTTGAGGCACATCTAGTTCACAGCGCGTGCTGCCTATGTGAAGTGGGCAAATACATGCCTTTCCTCATTAGAAGATGGCAACCTCGAAAAGGCGCCACGTCACTGTATCAAGCAATGAGAGTCCTGTCATTTGCACCCTACCCAGGGCTTTTAGGGCTTTCAATGCCTCCCAACTGGAATCATTGAATTTCCCTAAGATCTTCTTGCTCGATTTACAATCCACTTCGGCATTTTATTTCGTCACAAATTCAAGGCTGACGGACTGAACCTGTGCTGAACCCCCCCCAGCCCGAAGCACACGCCAATGGCATTGTTTTGATGTACGAGGAACAGCTCCAGTGCTTGACAAACCGGAGGCAGGACCGGAATGATTGGGCCTGGTGGAGGGAGGGCTGGTTTCAGTGACGCTTTCCTAGACCGGGCACCTCCTCAAAATTGTCGAGGTGTAGTGAAAGAGAAAGCGGGCATGCACGCACCGTGCCGACGGCGGCTTCGGCAGGTTGGCCTCCTGGGCAGTCCATCGCGCAGTGGTGCGCGGATTGCTGAAGCAGCCTCCAAGTGCAGAGGCCGGGTGGGGTCGATTTTCTGATCAGAAGTGCCACCCAAAGCTCACTCTTGGCACAGTTGAACCTACTTTGGCAATTGGCTGAAAAGGTAGCTGTCGGGTTTTTGCCTTCAGCATGAATTCCCATGTCATGGAAGCCTAGCGAGGAACGAGCCGGCAGCAACTCGGGTCTTCCGAAAGCGCTGTGACGAGTGAAAGCCAAGGAAGTTGCGAGAGGATTGGATTTGGTTCATCGAACTCTGGTCAGTTGTCCAAATTCCCAGGATTTTTGGCTGGGCTCTCAGGACCACCCGCAGATTCACTTGACGCACACCACGCTTCCCCCAGCTGTGGCCAGGCCCCCCAGGATGCACAGAAGGCGCCGTCAGAGGAGGAGCCCGGAGGGAGGCGAGGTGAGGTCAATTTGCCGGGCGCCATACCTCCCCTGACCAAACATAGTGAAGCGTATCTGCAGCAACGGGCGGCGGTGATGCCAAAGTCCGTGACTACAGGGTTTTCAAGTCCTTTCCTGTGTTTGATTGGGGTAGAAGATGGACACTAGTGGAAAGGAATTGTTTTCGGAGGCCCTGAAATTGTTTGATTGCCAGCATGGGCAGCATATTCTTGAAGCGGAGGCTTGCCATGAGCAAGTTGCTCCACTTGCATAGCTGCTTGATTCTCATCCACGGGCACACTATGCTTGAACAACAAGTCTAAGCATGTTTCAGCGTGCCGCGACAGGGCTTGAACGACGCACCAGATATCTCCAGGTAAATTGGTAAATTGACAACTAGGGAATGGAAGCAACACATCCCACCGTGTTCAAATTGAGTTGCACATGATGTCAATTTCCACACTGTCCGACGCTTGTACCAACTTGCGACTTGTCGCCACTGCACAAGTTGGTCTATGCCCATAATGCCATGGCGTCCCTGCAACACCCAATCCGTCATGGTGCATTTGCAGTGTAATTTTCACAGCTGGCTAGTGATTCCTGCTCAAGCTTTGCGAGTTTGGCACAAGGGTCGCTAATTTTCGTTGTGCTTCTTGGATACGGTTTTCCTTTTCGGTTTTGCTTTTCGGGGTTGGTTTCTTGTCGCAGGAGCTGGCCCGGCTGCGCGCCGAGCTTGCGGAGGCCCAGGCGGAGGCGGAGGTGCGGAAGAAATGCTCCCGGGAGGCGAGGGCCCGGGGTAGGCGGGGGAGGCGCATGTGGCGCTTCCCCCGGGTGGCTGAAGGTCGATGCGCGGAGATGTCTGAGGAAGATTGTCCGAGAGGCGAAGTTGCGCTTGCGCCATTTTGTGTTTATCTCCCTGGCCCCTCTTGCGGGGCCGACCCTTGGAACTTGAAGC